GACTGATAGCGGTGGGAGGGTGAGCACGAGCAATCGGGGGCTTATCTTTTGAAAATTGAATCTCTTGATTTCACTCGCTCAAAAGAAAATGGTCTGCATGTTACATATGGAACAAAACTACAACTAGATGGAAAAGGGATGCCATAAAAGAGACTGATCGAACGATATCCTTAGAGGAGACTTGTCCAGTATTTCGTAAGTCAGTTACAATATAGTAATGCTCGTTAAGCTTGTCTGCAAGGATGAAATCACTTTTTTTTGTCAACTAATTATCTCGATCAAGAACACAAACCTCAGTGATCTAGCATTTTGGGTTAATACCAAATCTACCGTATAGTGAGTTCATGAGTATCTTGTAAACATAGGACATCACTTCATTACCATTTCTCTTAGCTTCTTTCAAATATGGTGGAAACAAAACTTCTAAATGGGTTGTTATTCTTTTCATTTTAAAACAAGTAGCCTGAGATAGGAATGATCAGGTAGCCTATGTTGCACGCATACTTGAACTCTTCGCTATAATACACACCATGAATTTTCCAGTTGGGAAGAGTAGAGTTTTCTTATTCTCATCCCTAGAAGGTTAGAATGGTCAAGTAAGATTGCGATACTCTACATAAGCTTTAGGAAATCCATAAAAGTTGTCTAAATCCTGCCCTTCTCAATTACTATGCCAGACAGGCAAAACCCCTAGTCATAGGATAAGGTTGAATGATATAGGAATATAAGGAGTTCATGTCGTAATAGTCTAAATTTGCCCTATTTGGCTTATAAGCATCAGCATACCCACCACAGTAACAACGACGAATGAAAGTGTCTTCGTTCCAATTTGGGTTAAAAATAGGCCAATTTTTTATCTTCATACAAAAGATAGTGAGAGCTAGCGAAGACAAGGTCAATTTAGTCACGATATCCATTTTGTACTGACTCTAATAAATATCTTGAGCCTTTTGAATCTAAGAAACATATTTTTTGCTAAGTTCTTAAGGCTGCTCGTGGGCAGTGAGAAGGAATCCCTTAAGACAGAATAACAACTTTATTCACCAATCTGATAGAAAGCTCAGAAAACATTACAAGAAAAATATTTCAAAAAAGCAACAAAAAAAAACATTAACCCAACATTAAAATGACACAAAAGAGATTTAGTAATGCATAATAGAGAGAACCATGAAAAATAATCCATGTAGATAATTGTTGCAAGAAATAAAGAATTTTAAACCATATAATAAATTTTTGTCATCTCCACAAGAGTAGAAGATCTTTCTCTCCTCCAATAATCTCTTAAGAATTGAACGAAACAAGTGGAGAAAAAAGAAGAAAAATCTTCCTTAAAGTCTCAACACAAAGAGAGGAAGAAACCCCTAAGGGAGAAACCTCTCTCACCCAAAACTCTCTCTAACTCCAGCCTCCAACAGCCCAAGATGCCCTTAATCATCCAAAGGCAATAATTTTTCTTCCAAATTTGATTCATCGACAAGGCGTGGGTGCACCACGAGGCCGACGCGAGCATGCCAGAGGTTTAATGCCTGAGAGCGGGTGTGCAGCGAAGTAGGTGCTTTAACCTAGACACACGATAGCACGAGTGCACTGGGCAAACAACGTGGGTGCGCTAGCTCACAATGTTTCGCTCCAATTTGTCATTTTTTCGTTCTCAAACCAAATCCAACATGTAACTTATACAAAACAAACAAAAATATATTCCTAAAGCTTAATAACGACATAAAATATGCATAAACAAAGGTAAACAGGCAATGTACTTATTACATATTTCATTCACATCAATGTAAAACTTTTTATATAATATTTTAGACTTGCTGATTTTTTCAGAATTTTCAAATTTCATTTCTATTGTTATGTATATGTTAATTCTAAAATGGTTAGCTTGCATATATCATATGTATAAAAGTGTAAAACAATCTTTATTTCAGAAACAACTGGTACATTGATGAGCAAATCATACAAACATACAATTTCACCAGCAGTTGTTTCTTTTGCAGCTGATAGCTTCTTGAAACAACGGCAGCTACCCCAAACATATCATTGAGCAAGTGGTTAACAGAAAGAATCATCAACAAATTAGATACAACATGAGATCTAAAATTATTGATTAGAATTCTACAAAAACACGGAAGACTTGCATACCACGCAATTTCTATATAATTAAATACCTAACACCTAAACTTCAGTTTTTACAAATAGGCCACCTTATTTATACATGAAAAGACATACTTTACTAATTTAAAGTTAAAATGGTACTATTTTTAATATGATAAGAATGATTTATGTGGTATAAATGTAAAAAATAAAGTTTAGGTGTTAGAAGTATAATTACTAAGAATTGGCTGGAATGTATTTAAATGCCCCAATAAAAAAAGCTATTTACGAAGCTTCCTTAGAAAGAATGAGAAAAAATCCCCACGACAAGGAGAGTTCAAATTGGATGCGCAAATGAATTATTCTCTTTAAACACATTAAAAAGTTTTAATAATGGAAACACAAGGGCTGCTAGCAAAAGATGACATTTAATTTATTAGAATTTTTGTAAATCCCATAAATCTGAATTTACTAAATCATGAACTGTTTAAATCTGAAAATATTTGGTGACGAACTTACTAAATCCTGTAAATCTAGCGTAATTATTTGGCAAGTAGAACAAACCAAATAGCTCTTGTTCTAAATTCCATAAATTCATTGATTCGTGGGATTTAGTAAATCCATGATTTATGGCCAAAATTCGTGAAATCCGGATTTATCAAATCCACAGCTTGATTTTGTTCATCATATAATTAACAAAAAAAATTGGAAGGAAACAAAGAAAGACAGGTCAAGATATCGTCTATAGTCCTATACCAATTTCATTGACTTCTATAGGTCAAATTTATTTCTTTCATTCATGGAGATAAAGCCTCATCATCAATTAAATACAACATACATGGTTCAAAAGTGGTCACTCCATGACGAAGAACCGCAGGAGATCTATAGGATGAGATCTAGGGTCTAAGACTTAAAGAAATCATAAATATTTAAGCAAAGAATTGAGGCTCCATTCAAGGAAAAAAAGGGTCATTTATATAAATATCACACAACTCTTATGTATTTACATATCTAACGCCTAAATATTCACATTTTCATGCATACAACTCAAATGCTTGACATCACATTAAAAACATTATCATCACTACCGTTTAAAAAGTAAAATTACACCTTTTAATGTATGTGTTTATTACACCAAGGTGTGATAAATATAAATAACAAACTTTAGTTATTAGATATATAAATACATAGGAATTGTTAGGATTGTAAATTTCCCAAAGAAAAATTATATATTGCCATTTAAAGAACTTAATAAAGCAATGAAGTTGAATATGAGAACTAATGGTGAAGAAAAAAAATCAATTAAAATTCAATTCATCATAGACTACCATAAATTATCGTTAATACAAGCCAAATATAACAATAATTACAAAGATCATAGATTAACATCAAAAGCATACGAGTTCTTAAATAACTTCATGAATAGAGAACAATAGAGCCTCTTCGGGATCAATTTTGTTTTTAGTTTAAATAACTTCATGAATAGAGAACAATAGAGCCTCTCGGGATCAATTTTGTTTTTAGTTTTTTTTTCTATTTTTAAAAACATGTTTGTTTTGTGTTTTTTTTTATTTTCTTTATTTATTTCTAGAAATAAATTTAACATAATTTTGAAAAAACTCAATATAACTTTGGTGTGTTTTAATTTTTTTAAAAAACGATCATTTCTTAATCAAATATGCCAAACATATTTTATTTCAAATCAAAATATAAATAAAAACAATAAACAAATAAAAGTTATTCCAAATAGCCTCTTAACAAATCCTAGAGATGGATTTTGCTTTGTGGAATATGATTATATTTCAATCCCAAAGCTCTCAATGAGAGAAATTAGGATGAAACAATCCAAATAACCACAATGAATCATTAAATACAACTAATTTCTGCAACTATACTGAAGATATTTAGAGTAGCAGGTCAAGGAGAATAAAAAGGCTGCTTCTAAGCTTACTTTACGGTGTCAATTAAGAAGGTGAGCGATCCATTGCTGGACCACCGAAGGAGATCCATACCAAGGCCTTAGTAGTTCATCTGAACCAACAGGAGAGTGATAAACTCCGTCCAAGCTTATGTTGAGGGCGCCGTCGAGGTGAGCTGACATCTCTGGAACGACTCCATCTCCCCATACATCTGCCTTTCCACATACCTGAATTATATCAAGTAGAGACACTTTAAAGGAGTTAACATCTAAATTTGTGTTTGTGCTTGGTTCCTACTTTAAAAAGGATTTTGAACAAAATTTAGTTAGTATGGGTTTGAAAATTTTTGTTTCTATAATGAGATGAGTTAAATATATGGTAAATCAGCATTTGTATTGCACCATTTCAAAGTAAATATAAGGGTTTTTAACCCAACCTTACCAAATTTTGATCAGGATATCCTCACCAAGCTTTTTCCCTTGAGGCTTGTTTTAGATTACTTCTGCTTTTATTTTTTATTTTATTTTAAAAACATATTTTTTATTATTTTTTTTTCATGTTATTTTAATTTTAAAAAAAATTAGCTTTTTTTAAAAATCACATAAAATTTCTAAAAATTATTTTGAGTCTTCTTAAAAACAATTGAATATGTTATAAAAGACCAGACATGTTTTATTTTAGATACAACTATATATATATATATATATATATATATATATATAATACAATAAAAATTAAAAAGAAAACACAAAAATCAACAGTGATATAAATAACCTTATAGTTTTTTTGTGTTTTAAATTTATGATTTGAAACCAAACATATTTGATATGTTTAATTAAGATATGGTTGTTTTTAAAAACTAATGATATTAAAAGGTTATTTTGAGTGCTTTAAGAAAATTTTATTTGTTTTTAAAAATTAAAAATAAAAATCTATTAAAAACATATTAATTATGTTCTCAACAACAAAAGAGAACAAAAACATAAAAAACAAAATGATCTCAAACAAGTCCTTAGCAAATAAAAGATTTAAAATATTTGAAGTTGCTTAGAAACAAGTTCGATGCATGTATAATCAATTAACTATTGGATTGCACTACTTTTAAAGCAAATTTAAGAATTTTTGTAACTAATCCTGACCAAATTTGGCACAGAATATCCCGACCATTTTTTTCATTTTTTAGGGAAGCGATCGGTGCTACATTTCATTAATTTCAAACACAAAGAGAAAGCCAAATAGTTAAAAATTCTAGGCCCTTCCGTATATAAAGTAGCTTTCCACTTTCCCCAACATTAGCCAGAGTGGCAGCACAGTTTTAAAATTTGATCTGCATGACGAACTCATCAACATTGGACATATATAAGTTTAAAAGAAACAAAAGGGAAGAAAATTGAAGGAGTCAACTTGTTTGCTTGAACATGATCAAAATGAGCCATGATATATGACTAAAATTTAGTCAAGATGAATCTTGAACCCTTAAATCTGCTTTGAGAAAAATACACTACATGAATAATCAACAGACTCTTCTATTGAGCTCATCTCACAAAAAACCCAAACTTTTAAATATATCCAAATCAAATTTTGGTCAGGACATTCTCACCAAATTTTATTTTCTAAAGAAAATATCAACTCCACTTATATATATCAACAATTACTAAAATTTATGCTATTATCAAAAAGGTAACTTGGTATTTCACTAAAAAAAAAATCCCTAAATTTCACATTAAATTGTTTAATAATATGTAAAGATATTGATACAGGAGTTAACAAATACCAATAAGAAATATAAATTTTATTATTGAAATCATATAAAGAGTACAACCAAATACATGGAAATAGAAAATAACAATAAACGCGACAGTTAAACTAAAACTACGGTTAGGTCTACGAATGGTGGTGATCGGCTATGGAGGTGGGATGGAAAGTGCTTGAATGAGGATATAGGGGTGAAGGTGTGAGGTAGCAGCACTACGAAGAGGGAGTTGGGGGAAGGAGGCAAGTATGGAGGGGTTGGACTACAGAAAGGCGGTAAACAGCCTTTCCTCAGGATGATGGCAGCAAGGAGGGTTGGCGCCAAGGGCCAACAGATTGGGAAGGGTGTAGAGGAGGTAGGCGGCTGCCAAAAAACTATAAAGTGATTGTTTTCTGACAGCTGCAACAAATACTGTTACAGCAGCAGCGGAGGGAAGATTGCGGAGGAGTAAAAGGTCGAGGATAATCACAAAATCAAATGAAATACAGCCGAAGCACCACCCTTCGTTATATACAACCCTAGAAGGAGAAAGTTGGGATGCTGACAGTTGTCCTGACAAAAAACAAGAGAAAAACTATCCTAAAAATGACAAAGAAAACATATATACTAAATAACAAGAGGGGCCCACTCCTATTGAACAACAACCCTAACCCACAAGGACGAACGGTTGGCCCCTCCTTTCTCCCTTACGAAACAGTTCAGCCACCCAGATGGTCAAGTGTCCAGTTCAGAGTAGAATGTTCACATCACATACTGTAGCGGGAGAGGTGCATCGTGCAAAATCACAAGAGATGGAATGCATTAGTCCCTCGAGATTGGGGGATCCTCGACAACATTCCGTAATGCTTTGTCTGTCCGTTGAAGGTGGTGACACTGTTGTAACCTCTCAGGATGAAGAATCTCCAACAGCAGCCCTAGAAGCACCTGAACCCCAGTGAAGACTGCACAGTCCCCCGAAACACCGGAGCAATTTTCCCCACTTCAGAGCAAACGACCATATCGGTCCAACTTTCTGGGGATATACCCTTGAACAGATATGGAACTTCGTACCCAATATATTATGTTGATTCCTCCAAAAGTAGCCCGAGATTGGCTCAACCTGATCTGAAGTGAGGGCAATTTGAATCTCCTCGAACCGTGGTGGCCATGGAGGTGAGCATCGAACAGGATACACAGAAACTTACTCCATACTGACTGCCCTGTGTCTGAAATAGCTCTTTTGTCTCGTTGTTCTATGTCATCACCAAAACTGATCCTATTGGCGCTTCTTTGCATGCAATGGCACATGTAATCTCGAATTCCGCATAAGGTAGAAGTACTATGTGTTTGTCATTTTTTTTTTGTGAAGGACTGAAACCGTCATATTGAGTCTGGCGACCAAATTTTCATAGTCTCTCCAACAAAATGTGGCAAGCATCCATGGGAACCGTGTGGCACCAAATTTGATCTTACAGGTATTCTCAATAAAAAACTCCATGAGACCTCCTGTCAATGTTGGCTTTATTCTTCTTCCTCAACCACATAAGGGAGTCTGACTAGGAGTGCCTTGAAGTCATGAGGCTCAACGTGTCCATCATATATGTAAATGCTACATTCTTGTTGCTCCCTCAAATGATGATGAGATTGCATATATTTTTTTTCACAGTGCAACGAATGTAGAATATGTTGCGGTAAAGTCATTGTTGATCCTTCGTTGTCTCGGTATGTAAGTCACAGTATCTTGCCCTCATCTGATAGGAGCTTGGTACTCACCCTTTTCTTCAACTATCTCTTCGTCGCTAACTTTCTCCACTACACCCTTCTCGATGAAGGACACAACTCAGCTCGGTGGGCAACTGGAAGTGATGTGTCCAAAACCACGGCATCTAAAGCATTTTTTGGTTGGGACTATAGTGGCCATGTTACTCTTCTCACTTTGAGTGACCTAGTCCCGCTCCTGACCAGTCTTCACAACTCCCTAAAGCATGCTCTTGCTGTTGTCTCCAACTACGAGTGATTGTCTGAATCACGGTGGATGTCTACTCTGCTTTTGCTATCTCTCCACAGTCAATTCCAAAATCCAAATATCACCCAATACCAGTAAAGTTGTAGTTGGACCACATTAGCAATGGCGAACTTCAAGCCTCCCACATACTTGGCTATCATTCACTCCTTCGCTCCATCAGATCACATTTTAGATTAAGCTGCATAAATTCTAATGTGTACTCCTCCACTGATAGATCCATCTGTTATAGGTAGTAGAGCCTCAAGAAAAGATTATGAAAATAGCTTGGGGGTACACCATCTGTTATAGGTAGTAGAGCCTCAAGAAAAGATCATGAAAATAGCTTGGGGGTACATGTTGCTACAATTCTCCCTTCATCTTTTCTCAGATAGTAATCTTGTTTTGTCCTTCTCTATTTCTCTCACTCTTCAAATTATCCCACCACAACGAGGTGTTTTTCTTCAACTTGATAACAGCTAGATTCACTATTTGGTCATCATGCATCTCCCTGTATTCAAAGACCCTCTTGAAGGTCTGCAACCACTCGATGAAGTCATATGGATTCAACCTTTAATCGAAATCTAGTATGTCTATTTTCACTCTTGATTCTTTATAGCCTCTGACAGGCACACCATCTGTGTATCCTCTAATAGGCACTTCAAGTTCATTTATTTCGATTGTGGTTGTATAAAATCTTAGTTCAAAAGTTGTTTTGAAAAATCTATCATTTAAAAGCTGGTGTTCCAAAAGCATTTGTTATGTTTGAAAAAATCATTATTAAAAATGGTCTCTAGATAAAAGTTTGGACTCATATTTAATTATATTATATTAAACAAGCAGGAATACAAAAGTAAACTCAATGCTAAATTGTAGAAACAAGAGGTGCAAGATAAAATGAGAAAGAGAAAAATAGCATCAAGAATAGAGTGATTTGACCATCTAACAAACCTATGCAGCCTGGTTTTATACAAGAACAAGCTTATTTGTACTTACATGATAACATATAAAGGAATACCAGTCGTTTCCACCACAGTAAAAAATTACTAACCGATAACCACAACAATCCACAACCAAATGATCATCTTGTCCATCTCATGCAAATGATCAAACTATTTTTCACTGAGATCTAAGAAAAAAAATTCCATCCAAACCTTACTGCAATTAGATAGATTCCTCAATGAAACATCACCCATATTCAAGCTTCTTACCAACATCCAATAAGAAAAAAATTAATAAAGGAATCAAAATCTAGCAAAAAAATAAATTTATGAAACAGGGAGGGAAGTGTACCTGGCGTGCCGGCGCCAATCCTGGTTATGAGGGTGCCGGTCTCTGGGCAGGGGCGCCCCGAAAAACAGTGCAAGGGCGCCATCAACTCAGCGTGGAGGGGCCTACGCGTTACGGGTGCGCCCATATGGACAAGGGCGCCTCACGTCTGAAAGCGCAATCGAAACACAAAATGAGAAACACTAGCCACGATCGTGATATTAGGGAAATATGCATTAAGATTTTAACCGTTATTTACCAAACGCACAATCCCCCAACGTGATTCAGAACATTGGTAGAAAATTCAAAACAAGCGCACCCTTAATCTCTGTATCCTCTAATAGGCACTTCATCGCTTGGCCTCCTCTGATATTGTATCCCAAAGTGTCATGTTCTGTCTTCTTCTCGACTTGAATCATCCATACATAAGGGATTCAAATGTTTTCTTCTCTCCTAATCGAATCTCGCTACTATGCTCAACATCAGCGAGCCATTGTACTTGTTGCATCTTATCCATGGTAAAATTTTGATCAGGTTCTAGAAATTGCCTCTTCGGTGACATAATTAGGGTTTTGGAGTGGGTGGGTGAAAGGTGTGTAGAAGTGATGTAGAAATTTTTTGAATAGAGGTAGATTTGGGTATGGGTGGATGCTAAAAACCCTATGATAGGACTAGAGTTAGAGTAGCTCTAATATCAAATGATATCGGAGTTAACCAAACAACAACAGAAAATACAAATTTTATAATTGAAATCAAACAAGGAGTACAACCAATAAGGCAATATAGGAAATAACAACAAACACACACATAAACTAAAACTAGGGTTAGGTCTGGGGGCGGTGGTGATCGGCTACGGAGATGGGAAGGGGTTAAGAGTATTGGAATGAGGATATGGGGGTGTTGTTGAGAGGCAGTAGCACTACGAAGAGTTGCAGTTTAGGGGAAGGCAGCAAGTATGAAGAGGTTGGACTGCAGAAAGGCAGCAAGCAGCCTATCCTTTTGCTGGTGGCAATGAGGAGGGTTGGTGGCAAGGAGCAGCACATTGGGAAAGGTGGAGAGGTGGTCAACGGTTGCAGGAAAACAGTAAAGTGGTTGTTTTCTAATGGTTGCAACAAATATTATGATGGTGGCAGCGGAGTGAAGGTTGCACAGGAGTGGGAAAATCCAGGATAATCACCACCTCAGACGAAATATAGTCTAAGCACCACCCATCATCGTATACATCCCTAGAAGGGAAATCCTGGATGTTGGTGGCTTTCCTAACATAAAACAAGAAGAAAAACCACCCTAAACACGACAAAACAACATATATATTGTACTCAATAACAAAAAGGGCGCCCACTTCTATTGGGAAGTAGTCCTAGACCGCAAGGAGGGCCGATCGGCCCCTCATTTCTCCCCTGCTGAACCAGT